CGGGACAATCCCGGGGGAACCGGGGGGACAATCCCGGGACAATCCCGGGGGAACCGGGGGGACAATCCCGGGGGACAATCCCGGGGGACAATCCCGGGGGACAATCCCGGGGGCACAATCCCGGGGGGACAATCCCGGTGTTGGGGGGGGACAATCCCGAGACAATCCCGGGACAATCCCGGGACAATCCCGGGGGACAATCCCGGGGGTGCCGCTCCCCGCGTGTCGCTCACGGGAACTTGGGGAGAAGTTGCCCCGCGCGTCGCGGCGGGGCCATCGCGGCTCCATCCCGGTTCTCTCCCCGTTCTTTCCCGGCTCCATCCCGGTTCTCTCCCCGTTCTTTCCCGGCTCCATCCCGGCTCCGGTCGTGGCTCCTTACCGGCTCAGGTGGCGGTTCCTTCCCGGTTCCTTCCCGGCTTCGGTGGCGGCTCCATCCAGACTCCGGTGCCGGTTCCATCCCGATTCCAGCGGCGTCCCCGGTGCCGGTTCCATCCCGATTCCAGTGGCGTCCCGGGTGCCGGTTCCATCCCGATTCCGGCTCCCTGGCGGCTCCATCCCGGCTCCGGTTACATCACCGGCTCCCACCCCGGCTCCGGTCCTGGCTGCTGCAGGAGCTCCGCTCCGACTCCGTGTCCGGCCGCGCTCCCGGTGCCGCTCTCGCCCCTCCGGCACCACCGGCTCCGGCTCCGTCCCCTCCGCCAGCGCCGCTGCCGGTCCCGTCCTCGGCCGCAGCCCCGGCCCCGCTGCCGGTGCCGCCGCCGGCTCCGCCCGCAGCTCCGGCCCCGCTCCCGATCCCATTCCCGATCCCATTCCTGGCTCCTGATCCCATTCCCGGGCTCATCCCAGCTCCCGATCCCATTCCCGATCTCATTCCTGGCTCCTGATCTCATTCCGGGCTCCTGATCCCATTCCCGATCCCATTCCCGGGCTCATCCCAGCTCCCGATCCTATTCTGGGCTCCTGATCCCATTCTGGGCTCCTGATCCCATTCCCAATCCCATTCCCGGCTCCTGATCCCATTCCCAATCCCATTCCCGGCTCCTGATCCCATTCCCGATCCCATTCCCGGCTCCTGATCCCATTCCCGGCCCCAGCCCCTCTCTGGGTTTCACCCGCAGCTGCAGCCGCTGTCCCCATCCCTGTCCCTGTCCCTGTCCCCATCTCCAGCTCCATTCCCAGCCCCATTCCCTGACCACATCCCCATCCCCATCCCTTTTCCCATCTCCATCCCCTTTCCCATTCCCATTCCCTGTCCCTGATCCCATTCCCATTCCCTTTCCCTTTCCCATCCCCGTTTCCATCCCCATCCCCTCCATCCCCAGCCCCATCCCGTTTCCATTCCCAGCCCCATTCCCTTTTACCAGCCCCATCCCTGTCCCTGATCCCATTCCCAGCCCCATCCCTGTCTCTTTTCCCATCCCCATCCCCGTCCCCGTGCCCTCCGCACCCCCGGCCCCATCCCCATCCCTGATCCCATTCCCAGCTCCATTCCCTGTCGTCTCTGATCCCATTCTCTGTCCCTGATCCCATCCCCATCCCCATCCCCGTTCCGGTGCCCTCCCCGTCCCCTGCTCACCCCCGGCCCCATTCCCTGTCTCTAATCCCATTCCCTGTCTCTGATCCCATCCCCATCCCTGTCCCTTTCCCCATCCCCGTCCCCATCCCCGTCTCCTGCTCACCCCCGGCCCCATCCCCATCCCTGATCCCATTCCCGGCCCCATTCCCATCCCTGATCCCTTTCCCCATCCCCGATCCCATTCCCCGTCCCTTCCCCGTCCCCGTCCCCTGCTCCCCCCGGCCCCATTCCCATCCCTGATCCCATTCCCATCCCCATCCCCATCCCCATTCCCATCCCCGTCCCTTCCCCGTCCCCGTCCCCTGCTCCCCCCGGCTCCCCGGGCGGCCTCTCGCCGCCGCCGCCGCTCGCCACCATCGCCGCCAAGGGCGAGCGGGCGCTGCTGGCGCTGGCCGCGCCGGGGCTGAGCCGCGGCAGGCGGGTGGCCGGCGTGGCCATCGGCGTGGCCATGCTGCTGCTGCTGCTCGTGGCCATCCCGCTGCTGGTGCACGGCTCCAGGGCGGCCGCGCACTACGAGATGCTGGGCAGCTGCCGCATGGTCTGCGACCCGTACCCCGAGCCGCCCGCCGCCTCCGCCGCTCCGTTCCTGCCGGGAGCCAAGGGCGAGCCGGGCCGCAAGGGCCGCTCCGGGCTCCGCGGGCCGCCGGGGCCGCCGGGCCCGCGGGGACCCCCGGGAGAACCGGGCCGGCCGGGTCCGCCGGGCCCGCCGGGCCCGGGGCCGGGCGGGTACATCCCGTCCTTCTACAGCCCCAAAATCGCTTTTTACGCCGGCTTGAGGAAACCGCACGAGGGTTACGAGGTGCTGCGCTTCGACGACGTGGTGACCAACGTGGGCAACTACTACGAGCCCTCGAGTGGCAAATTCACCTGCCCGCTGCCCGGCATTTATTTCTTCACCTACCACGTCCTGATGCGCGGCGGGGACGGCACCAGCATGTGGGCCGACCTGATGAAGAACGGGCAGGTAACGGGAGCCCGCGGGACCCCCGAGCCGCCACAGCGCTCTGCAGTCCGGCTTTGCAGTCCGGCTTTGCAGCCCGCCGGGTTTTAGTCCCGGTTTGCAGCCCCCGGTTTTTAGCCCCGGTTTGCAGTCCCGGTTTTTAGCCCCGGTTTTTAGCCCCCCGGGTTTTAGCCCCGGGTTTTAGCCCCGGTTTTCAGCCCCCGGTTTTCAGCCCCCGGTTTTTAGCCCCGGTTTGCAGCCCCCCGGGTTTTAGCCCCGGCTTGCAGCCCCGGTTTTTAGCCCCGGCTTTTAGCCCCGGTTTGCAGCCCCTCCGGGTTTTTAGCTCCGGTTTTCAGCCCCCCGAGCCCCCAGCCCGGTTTGCAGCCCCGGTTTTCAGTCCCCCGGGTTTTTAAGCCCCGGTTTTCACCGCCCAGGCTCCCAGCCCGTTTTTAGCCCCGGTTTTTAGCCCCGGTTTGCAGCCCCCGCTTTGCAGCCCCCCAGGTTTTAGCCCCGGTTTTTACCCCCCGAGCCCCCAGCCCGGTTTGCAGCCCCGGTTTTCAGTCCCCCGGGTTTTTAAGCCCCGGTTTTCACCGCCCAGGCTCCCAGCCCGATTTTCAGCCCCGCTTTGCAGCCCCCGGTTTGCAGCCCCCCAGGTTTTAGCCCCGGTTTTTACCCCCCGAGCCCCCAGCCCGTTTTGCATTCCCGGTTTTCATCCCCCCGGTTTGCATCCCCCGGTGTTTAGCCCCGGTTTTCACCCCCCCCGGTTTTCACCTCCTGTTTTCAGCCCCGGTTTTCACCCCCCCTGTTTTTTTACCCCCCGGTTTTTACCCCCCGGTTTTCACTCCCAGGTTTTCACCCCTCGATTTTCACTCCCAGGTTTTCACCCCTCGGTTTTCTTCCCCGGTTTTTACTCCCCGGTTTTCACCTCTTGTTTTCACTCCCCGGTTTTCACCTCTTGTTTTCACCCCCCGGTTTTCATCTCCGGTTTTTAACCGCTCTCTTTCCAGCCCCTGGTTTCACCCCCCGGTTTTCAGCCCCGGTTTCTTTCCCGATTTTCACCCCCCGATTTTCATCCTCGGTTTTCACCCCTTGGTTTTCACCCCCCGGTTTTTAACCCCGGTTTTCACCCCCCGGTTTTTGATCCCGGTTTTTACACCCCGGTTTTCACCCCCCGGTTTTTAATCCCGGTTTTTACACCCGGTTTTTAATCCCGGTTTTTACCCCCCGGTGTTTAATCCCGGTTTTTACACCCGGTTTTCAGTCCCGGATTTTTCAGCCGCCTCGGGGTTGCAGTTTTGGCCCACCGTGGTTTCCCTGTTTGGCTTTGGGTGATTTCAGATTCTCATCCGGGTTCGATCCGTTCCTGATTTCCCATCCTCGGTTCTGCTCCATCCCAAATCCCCAAATTCCCATCCCATTTCCCCCATCCCAAATCCCCAAATTCCCATCCCATTTCCCCATCCCAAATCCCCAAATTCCCATCCCATTTCCCCATCCCAAATCCCCAAATTCCCATCCCAAATCCCCAAATTCCCATCCTGCTCCCCCCATCCCTGATTTTCCATCCCCAGTTCCTCCACCCTGCCCAGTCCCCACGTCCCATTTCCCCCATCCAATCCTGCCCAAAATTCCCATTATTTCCCCAATCCCTATTTCCTATCCCCAGATCCCATTTCCCCATCCAATCCTGCCCAAAATTCCCATTATTTCCCCCATTCCTGATTCCTCAGATCCCATTTCCCACACCTAATCCTGCCCAAAGTCCCATTATTTCCCCCCAAATTCCCATTTCCTCCATCCAATCCTGCCCAAAATTCCATTATTTCCCCCATTCCCTATTTTCCCACTCCCATATCCCATTTCCCACACCTAATCCTGCCCAAAATTCCCATTATTTCCCCCAAATTCCCTATTTCCCATTTCCTCCATCCAATCCTGCCCAAAATTCCATTATTTCCCCCATTCCCTATTTTCCCATCCCTACATCCCATTCCCCCCAAATCCTGCCCCAAATTCCATAATTTCCCCCCCAAAATTCCATAATTTCCCTCACAAATTCCATCATTCCCCCCCCCAAATTCCATCATTTTTCCCATCCCAGGGGAGGCACAAGGGCTGTGCCCCCCCCGCTCCCTTTGTTCGCTCATCCCGGATTTTTCCATCCATTTATTCCCAAAAAAAAAAAAAAAAAAAAACCAAACCGGGAAAACCAAAGCGAGACTGACCCGGGCTGGTCCCGGGGGGCTCCGGGCTCGCGGCCAGCGACCCCCCCGAGGGGAAAGGGAGGGGAAAATGGGAAT